CCCCGCCGGGACAGAGCCTGGGAAAGCTGATGGTATGAGGACAGGCGTTCCTGCAAGTTCGCTGTCTCTGCTGATGGGAAGGCGTTGCGGGGGCGAGTTTCAGACACTGGCTCTGCTGCCGGGTATTTGGAGGCGTGTGTGATGGAAAAGCAGGCAGCTATTTTTACCGCCTACAGATAAACAAGAAATGATAAATACCTTCTAATGATGCAGATACCTGAGCCCTGATATCATGTGTCTCTCAGGCTCCTCTCCCGCCTGATGTGAGGGACCAGCTCATTGTACAAAACGCTGGAGGAGGGCGGGGGAAGGGAGCAAACAGTCGTGGTTTAGCTGCAGACCTGGAAGAAAGCCCGGTTCTGGGCCTGGTTGCCTGGGGGAGCCTTATAACTACAGAAAGGGGACCTGGCACTCCGGGTGTAGTGCTTTCCAGAATTCTTCAGGAAAGTCACAAGGGAAGATGCCACACACTTTCCTCGGAAACAGGCCTTCTTGAATATTTGGGGGAAATTTCCCCAAACCTGAGATTATGAATGAATAGTGGATCCATCCTTGGCCCCAATTTATCAATACTTATTTACAGCTCTCACTGCTGGAGGTTCCGACTGAAACGGACTTTTCAGTGAAATCCATGAACGTGTATTTCTGGGGATGGCCAAGCCCTGCCGCGGGCCGGGGTAGGGGCGTGGGGAGGACGGCGTCTGTACCACGTTCTCGGTACCCCTCGCCCTCAGGAAAGGGAAGGAAGGCAGGATCGAGGGTTGCAGACGGCAGCAGGCACTTTGATTTAATGTGACCGGAACCATCGCTCTATCTGGGTGTTGGCAAGCTTTTGCATGAAGAGCCAGGTGGTTAATATTTTCTGCTTTACCTGCCGTAGTGTCTCTGTTGCAACAGAGCTGTGGGAAGGCAGCCCCAGACAATACATAAAGACATGGAGTGGTGTGTGCTGATAAAACTTTATTTATAAGACTAGGCAGTGCCTGTGGTTTGCACAGCCCTGGTGGACAGTTACATCAGTGCTGGCAGCAGTGGATGGGCCTGGGGCTGACTTTGAGCTGCTGTGGAGAGTCGAAGTGTGTGCTTGAAGATGGCTGCTGGGTGTGGTTCCCTCCGTCCTAAGGGCTCCAGCCTTCCCTTCCCTCCACCGTCCTCACTGCCCAGGGGTACCCAGCAGGACTCCTGGGAACCTCAGGACCTGGGGCGCCGTGATCAACTCTTATACCCCCTGCAAATCGTGGGCTTGGAGACCCGCACAGGCAGAGAATATCCCCCTCCTCGCAGCCCTCTACCCACTGGCCTTAACACCATTGACCTCTGAACTCTGTCAGCAGAGACTGTAAGTGCTCATTTTCCTCAAGTCAGAAACAGAATAATTTTGCAGTGATGACGATGTATTTCTCAGGTGTTGAACCTTTAGCTCTAAAGCCAACACTTGATGCAAAGATGTCTTACTGTCAACATTAACCTCAAAAAAAAAAAAAAAAAAATCACCCCAGAAGCTCTCCAAGTGTGGTCCCTGTTGTGCTTTTGCTCCTGTAGCACAAGGCAGCACAGAGGTGACACTAAACAGTTGTGCTTTGGTTCACTCTTGGATTTGGGAGCCAGGCTCCCGGCTTTCTTCTTGCAGCCGGCTGCCCTCACCAGCTGGTGGTCTCTTTGCTCGTGTGCTCCTTTCTGAGAGGGAGGACGGCCATCCCGATTTCTGAGGGTCTCCGTGAGCACTGAGTTAATGGTTTAAGTAAAGCCCTGGAACATGATATGTAAGCACTTCCCTTATCACTTCATGAGGTGGTTGGATGTTCTCCCATTCTCCGCCTCTAAGATGATTATCAAATTCCACGCAGGATTAGAAGCAGATCTGTGCAATCGCACTGTTAGCGTTCTAGTGTCCCAACTCGCCCGCACAGCTGACTTCATTCCGTTTTAGTTTTGTGCATCATCATCTACACACATTTATGTTTTTTTGTGAGATCGAAAGGATGCAGTGGAATCATAATGTCCTTTAAACCCCCTGGGGAGTGGAGTCAGCACGTGAATTTAAAGCACGAGGAATGGGTCGGGGCAGGATGGGCTCTCCATCCCCCCCCCCGCCCTGGGTAGACCACTCAGGGCCCATGTGCTGGCTGCCCGAGGCAACGCCTAACCGTCCACCGGTCCTGGGTGGGGGCTTTGCTGGCCTCTGCAGGCGCCTGGACTCCTCGGGGGCTCCTCCGTGGCCCGTGGCGCCTGGCCCCGTAGTGACAAGGAGTGTTGGGTTCTTGCTGATTCTCAGCTGCCAGGCCAGCAGCTGGGACTCTGCCGTTTCCTCCCAAAGAGCCGTCGGAGCTGAGCGGGGAGCAGAGTCACCTGTTTCTCCTCCACAGACAGACCCGGGACGCAGAGGGCGCGGCACCACGGCTGCAGCGGCAGCGGCAGGGCTGGGACTCGTGCCTCTGGGTTTCAGCATCTCAGTGATGGACTCACACGTGCTTCAGAAGGACACGTCCTATGGGGGTTGACTTGGCTGAAATGTCTGCACTTCTCCTTTGTAGAGTAACGCTGAGCAATCCTGGCAGAAGGACCGGCAGGGTCACGGTCGCCATGTGGCAGCCCTCGGTGTAGCCATCGATCGCGCAAACCTCCTTGGGGCAGACACCAGCGGGTGAAGGGTAGTGAGGGCCCAGGGTTATTCCCCGTCACCCCTCAGGGTACCCGTTAATCACCTCGTGAGAAGGTCCCCAAGAGCAGTGACACTGTCAGCACCACTGCAGCCAACGGGTCACGCTCGGTGTCACCGACATCGGGACAGGCTGACGTCCTGCGTCCCCTGATGTGAAGCGGTGGGAAGGGTCATCCTGCCCCCAGGCGCTCGGTCCGACGCTCCCCACGAGGAAAGTCAAGGGACATTTTGCAAAACTTTGGTCTGGACGGCGAAACACGCATGCAGTAAAAACAGTAACGAGAGCGGGGACCGTTCCGGATCAGAGGGGACTGAGGGGATACGGTGACTGAATGGATGCCGTCCTTTCCTTGATGGGAAAGAAGCCACACTCTGAAGGACACCGTGGGGACACTGGGGACATTGGACGGTGGACCAGGCACCAGGTGATGATTGAAGCCATGTCAGATTTCTGATCGTGATGATGGGATGGTGATTATGCAGAAGGCAGTCTTTATTTTTAGAAGGTCCCTGTGAAAGAATTCAGAGGTGGAGTGTCATGGCGTACTTTCCGATGGTTCAGCAACAAGGTGTATGTGTGTGTGTATGTGTGTCTGTGTGTGTCTAGAGTGTGAGATGCCAGATAAAGCAGATGTGGCAGAATGGTAGGAGCTGGGAATCTAGGTGCGCTGTTTCTAGCAGATTTTCTGTGGGCGTGACTCTTTTGCAAAGCAGAGTTTGGAGAGGGGGTCCCGGTTTAGGCAGAATTCCGGTTCTTGCTGTTCTCTCTCTCGAGAGACCCCGCTGAGCTACCTCTGGACACGGAGGACTTGGCTCCTCAGCCACCTGAGCACCACGGAGCTCACGTCCACCATCCTGGTGGGCGCGCTCCTCTTTGGTTGTCCGTTGGCCAGAGGCCTCACGTCCACTCGAGGATTCTCCCAAGTCCCTCCGGCGCTCTCACCCCTGTCACCATGGACAGCA